CTGCCTTAAATAGAAGAGAAAGTGGCTGGAGATTTCCACAGCGAGAGGCCTGAGAAGTTGCCTTATTCAGCTTCGGAGGCTCTTTGGCTCAGATACATCCTCTGCATTTACGCTGGGTTTTGGTAGTTGTCCTAAAGAGGCAATTTGTTGAACAACTGCACTGATGCAGTTTAGCAGCTGGACTTCTGTCATAGCTGGAGGGAATTGTCATGTGTTTGCATGAGCTGCATCTGTATGTGTCTACAAGACTATTGCTAGGTTCATTCTAAATGGTAGTGTTCTTATCTTTACAGCTTTGCTTATCAGCAAACATAAATGCTGAAAACATGCCGCAGCAGGTTAGGGCTGGTTAAAATACTTTCTTCATTTACAAGTTCAGAATGACTGAGGGATGACACACCCCCCCGTTAACCCCCCCTAAATTATTATTGGTCATAACTGTAACTTGTACATGAAAGTAAGATGACACTCCCCCCCCCCTTTTAACTGTGTACCTGACAGAAAACCTAGTCTTGCATTTGAGTAAATACAGGAAAACTGCAACACTTGCTACGGCAGAAAAAAACGTAAAGAAAGCACACTTTCTTGATACCACAATGTTGGACTCTTCACTTTCTGTCACTGGAGATTCTTAAAAAGAGATAGGGGAATTCTTAGCTTTTCTGCACTTAAAAAAACAATTAAACTTTTGTGGGGATGGGTACAGCAAGCACTATAATTTATTTTGTTATCCAGAACAGTTTTTTAAAAAATATGCACACATGTTGAGGTGCAAAGGCTTAACAATGTTGCTTGGAATTTCTACCAGTCTTCCCCACCCCTAAACTTTAGAAAAATATTTCTTGTGGCAGACTGCCCTCGAAGTGTAAGAGGAGAAAAAAGCACTGGCATAAAATATGGAACACAGTTGGCTGTTGGCCTTGTAGAACAGAGCAATGTCTGGTTTTAAGTTGACAAGCCAAATGGACTTATCTTTTACAAATCTACATTTATATATTGCTGGTATAACTGTTGTGACTCCCACAAAGAAACCCAGACACTGTAGTTTTCTGAGGCTACTGAAAATTCGTGTTAGAAAGCTTCATTTTCTTCATAATCCCAGCATTCTGTTTATGACATTCATAACTGTTACATAAGGTTTGAAGTTGATCTGCAGTTGGACAAGGAGAGATGCAGTTGGTCATGGAGGCTCAGGGGTCAACTTGAGTTTTTGCAGCTCCCTACACCTAAGGAGTTTGGTCGTTACTTTGTTGTTAAACAAGGCCAATTTCTGTGCAATCTGAAATGTGCCCTGGAAACCTATGCAACAGAGAATTATGAGGCATATTGTCTGTTTTTGTGGAAAATTGGTCACCATGGAAATAGTATGCAAGCCTCAACTTGCTCACCTCTTTCACCACAGCCCCCCCCCAAAAAAAATCATGCCATAACTTATAAGAACCAAAACAGTAAAATAACATTGCACAAGATTTTGAGTTCTCCAGAACTCTTCATCATACAGTACTCAAAAACCTGCACAAGGTATTAAAATATAACATGGATTTTGTGCTCCAATTTTCTTATGCAAAATCAGATCCTGCTATTTTTTAAAAAATTCAGCACAGCGAGGGTCCCTTACATTGTGTCATGTAGGTTATCTGTACTGTTGACAGTATACCTTACAAGCTCTGACTGAGGTATTGTGTATTCTGGTTTCTATACACATAAGTCTGAAAGTTTAGATGATGGTTAAAGTTTGAATAGAGAGATCTCTAACATTCAAACTTTGCCTCTCATTTTAAACTTCAGATAGGGACCAGTGGAGGAGGAGAAGAAGAAGAAGAGGAAGAGAGAAGAGATTGGATTTATACCCCACCCTTCACTCGGAGTCTCAGAGAAGCTTACAAACTCCTTTCCCTTCCCCTCCCCACAACAGACACCCTGTGAGGTAGGTGAGGCTGAGAGAGCTCTTTCAAGAACTGCCCTTTAAAGAACAGCTCTGACAGAACTATGGCTTGCCCAAGGTCATCCAGCACCTGCAAGTGGAGGAGTGGGGAAATCAAACCAGATTAGAGTCCGCGCACTTAACCACTACACCATTCCTTTCCTCATCCTAGTACTGCTAATATTCAATTCACAAATACTTTTGTCATCTAAAAACCAGGTAAAGGTAAGTGATGAAAATGGGATGAACAAGTCTGTAGCAAATAAGTGGGACAAACGGTGTAGGCATTTGCATCGTTCATGAAGGGGATGTGCCCTTCACTATCCATTCTGATGTACAGGTTTCCACAAAGTATCCTGTTAGCTCTGTTGACTTTGGAAGCTGAAACAGGAATTTCCCATGCCCATACTTCAGCTTCTTTGGGAGACAGGTCAAGGTTGTAGCCAGAAATTGTGTGTGTGTGTGTGTGGGAGGGGTGAATAAAACTGAAGGTGGCAACCACAGTTCACACACACAAAAAAACCCAGGTAAGGCAATACTTTTAATTAAATGGGATACACAAGTGTATTCGTTTATCTTTTTTTTATTGCTGTCAACTCACAGCTGACTTACGGTGACAGCGTAAGGCTTTCACGGCAAGAGACGTTCAGTGGTGGTTTGCTATTGCCTGGCTCTGCATTGAGGTCCATAACTTCCTTGGTGGTCTCCCATCCAAATACTGACCAGGACTGCCTCTGCTTAGTTTTTGAGACCTGACAAGATTGAGCTAACTTGGACTACCCAGGCCAGGGCTTTATCAAACTTTATGAAAATTTATTCAGATGTACTGCGACTCCTTCACACCACAGCTCAGTCCAGAAGATAGCTCCTGCCAATGCCAGGTGCTTCCAGGGATGTTCTCTGGGGTGTCCAAAGGGGCATCCCATAGTTGTATGATGTTCTTCAGGGAAAGTTGATATGTATTTCAAAAGGAAACTAAATTGGAAGACATACCTGTTACCAAGGGTTTTTGAAGTGACTGCCACTGGCTTTATGTGAACATAGAACTGTTGTCTAATTGTGATCAGGATTGGGGATTGGCATTATGATACATGTCTCTTGAATGTCTTGCATGGTTGCAGGCTAGTCACCCATGAAATGCTCTGGTGGTTAAGGAAAACTGAGGTGCATGGATGGGCTTTGCATGCAGAATGTCCTCGTTCAAACCCTGACATCTCCACCTAAAGGGATCTTCTTGAGTAGCAAACTAAAACCTTACAGAATGTTTGTTTAGTCAGAGCAGATGCCTAGGCTTAGATGGATCAATTATTTAGTTTTGTAGAAGGCAGCAGCCTAATATGTCCATATAACAGCAAGCAGCCATGAGTGGAAAAACAGGATGTGGCTGTAACAGGCTTACAAAGACCATGTCATGTGAGGACGTGCATCTTGCCTTTTGCGGACCGCATCATTCATGTTGGCATTATAATTCCACTTCTTACTGGCATAACCTGCTGGGCATGCATATGGGTATTGTGTGGCACAAGACCAGATTCACCAACAGGCAGGCATGCCAAAGCCCGGAATTCCACCTCCCTGCTCTGCAGCCATGCACTTCTTTTCTATTCCCTTATCTACCTTATAAATAAAAGCCGAATGGTGGTGGCACTTCTCTAGAACATTCCACATGCTCCAAAATCAGTTCGCTCTCTGATCTGTCATTCAGAGGGTCTCCCTATCCACTGGCTGCTTTGCCTGAGTCCTGCCTCCAACATTCTAAACATTTTGCTGTTCCTCTCCCCCCCATAGCCAGTCAGAACACAGAGGTCATTTGCATATGCAGCCTCATTGGCCTCTGCCTCGGAACACAGAGGTCGTTTGCATATGCAACTCGATTGGCTTTTGCCTCTAACATTCTAAACAGTTTTGCTGTTCTGAGGTAAAATGTGTCCAATCTCCAGGTGAGGGCTGGAGATCACTCAGAATTACAACTGCTTTCCAGATGGCAGAGATCAGTTCCCCTGGAGAAAATGGTGGGCTCTGTATCCTTATATGCTGCTGAGGTGGCCCCCGTATGACAGCCAATAGGACAAAGCAGTCAGGGTATCAGAGCACGGGAGAGCCTGCAGGTGTGTGGGGGGTGGAAAGCTGAAGAGTGAGGGGGAAATAAAGGTAGGTTGATTATTGGCTGGGAAGAAGATAGGGTTGCCAACTCCAGGTGGGAAATTCCTGGAGAGGTGAGGGATGGAGCCTGGAGAGGGTGAGGTTTCAGGAGGCGTGGGACCTCGGACACGTACAAAGCCATAGACTCCACCCTCCAAACCAACTATTCCCTTCTGGGAAACCATCGTTGCCAATCTCCAGGTGAGGGCTGAAGATCACTCAAAATTACAACTGTTCTTTAGGTAGCAGAGATCAGTTCCTCTGGAGAAAATGGTGGACTCAGTGTCATTATACCCTGCTGAGGTCGCCACAGCAAATTGACACTGAGTGTCCAAGGCCGGGGCACCCACCCAGAGCCTCTTTCTAGAGGCCGTTGTATTTATTTCCACAACCAACGGGCCTTTTTCCTAATTTAGATATATAACCTCTTATTTTGAAAAGAAGCCGTATGTGAAAAGTTTAATTTGCTCAGCTCTGGAAACTGTTGTCAAGGCCCTGAGCCATGTGAAACAGTGCCTCTGAGCACAGACAGGGTGAAGAATTTTTACATTAGAGAAAGAAATTTCCTAATGAATGTGTTGGGGGGGGGGATACGTCGCAGGCCTTTTCTTCGGATGGGGCTTCAGCCGCTTCAGAGAGACGACGAGCCTAGCCGATTTCTTACAGAGGGCATTTTAATTGCAGAGAGCCAATCTAACTCTCGCTTTCGCTGGGAAGCTTACTCTGCAGAGCTTCACCAAGGTGCAGCAGGAGGCGCTCTTACGTCTAGGAGGTGCATCCC